TCATGTCTAAGGGTGCCGTCACATGCGGCGTAATCCGCGTAAGCGTAACCTGCGTATTCTAGTAATTTACTAGAATACGCCATTCTGAAATCCGGCACTCACATTGGGCGTATTTCGCGGAAGATTAGAGAAACGCGTAACTAATGCAACCAATTGCTGATTAGAATTTCTGTTGTACACTCTAACAGAAATGCTAAACGAATTTACGATTGGTTTTCGTAACCTACGCAACTCGAAAAGTACGCCTCGTGGGGAACCGGTACTTTCTATCGCATACATACAATACGCGTTTGTACAAATTTAGAAGAAGAAAGTCTGATTTATAATGACCGTAAACGTTAACTTATGTCGGTGCCGGTAAAGTTCAACCACAGGATTATCAAAAGTCTATCAAAAGACTGACAGATTTCATTTGAACTTTTTAAAAAGTAGCAAGTTTGTGTTGAATATATTTCTATTATTTTACCTTTTTTTTTCTTGAAAATCGATTTTCGACAGAATACTAATCTCAAGGTAATAACTGTTCACTTCGAGATCCACGAGATTCTTTCTGCTCGAAAGCGCATCTGAACGTTGCTGTATTCAGAAGTTGTCACGACCGTTGCTGCGGTTTCAAGTATGTACGCAGGTTGTCTAACTTCACTCCGCAAAGAGAGAGAGAGAGGGGGGGGGGGGGGCGATCGGAGTGAAGTCAGGCGATAATAAAAAATGAAAGAGGATTGGGATCATGATGTAAGAATACAAGTAGGTGAAACATTCCCATGGATGTGCAGTAGGCCAGTAGGAGAGTGAATTTTGGACAAAATTTAATTGGTTGTTTCCAGTATTGCTATCGCCATTATCAGAACCGGGATTAGGCATTTTGGTGCTCGAGGCAAAATAAAAAAATGCGCCCCTTAGTAAAAGAAATATTTCTCTATGACATGTGAAATATAATAAGAAATAATATTAATTAATAGTAATTAACAGTATTTATTAATATTAATTGGTAAAACTTCGGAAAAACTACAGCATCTACAATTTTAATGCAAATACATTTTTTCCATGTATTTTTGGCTCCTGAAAACGAATCTGACATGACTTAATGATGACCTTAAATAATTTTTTATCAACTTCAATTTACTAAAACTTCTTTCACATGAAGTTACTGTTACCGGAATAGTTAAAAATATTCTTGCTGCTACCTCCAAGTTTGGATATGATTTGGTAAATAATAATCATGAATTAGTTATAAAACATTTAAAATAGAAACTGATTTTATACGGGAAGTATTGATACTGCGTGCTGTTTGGAACTTAAAATTTCGGAAGAAATTTCATTTGCATTTAAATCATTTTCATATTTTAATGCTAAATTTACTGCCGCATTTTGTAGCTCGGAAACTAATTGTTGATAACTTATAACTTAATAAGAAATCGAAATCTGATGGTACTTCATGTAGCTTTTCATATCGCCAATGCAATTCAGAAATGAGTACATCCAATACTTTCTTTAATTTCATACAACTCAAAATCACCGTTAATGAATTAGATACGTAGAAAATTCTATTTTTGCGCCCTCTTCAAATTATTTACACGAGGTAAATGCCTCGCCCGCCACACCCTTGTCCCGGCTCTGGTCATTATGCGCAGTACTACACCTTGTATTCTTACATCGTGATTGGAATATTATTTGAAATATTCAGCTTCGCGCAAATCGATCGAACGTCGATTCATTAGTTTTGAGTAAGGAGATGCAATCCACTTAACGCTACAAATGCTTCGTTAACCAATCACAAGAATTTTACGAATTGATCAATCAAATGCTTCGAAGCATTCTTTCAGGGTTAAATTTAAATCCTCCGATTTGGTTCACGAAATTCATCGACGCGACTCGTAATAATTCGCTGCTAACTTCACGACGTCGGGGAACGAAATCGATCAGGACTAAGTGAAACGTACTTTGTATTACAGTAAATTTTATTAAGTCTGAGTAGCGTTGGTGTTAGTAAGTATCCCGTCGCTGTATTCTTGCTATCTTGCACCGTATCTACACAGTGTCTCGATAATACATTTGTGATTGCGATTTTTATTTCTCCCGTTTCACCGCACGGCACACCGCCATTCGGAGTCGAGAGATCTCCGATTTCATACTAACATTTATCGCGAGTTTATTAGTAAAATAAAATATACACTGAGAGACGCTGGAAGGACAATAAAGTATCTTCCCGGATGCTCGGAGGCGCGTACGTCAAATACAAGGTAGTGCACGAAATGTCATACTATTTGCTTTACATATTACATATTTATTTTTAGCAAAAGGTACAGAATTAATTACTAAAGCTTGGAAAATTGTCTCAAATGGATAATTCAATATAATCGCTGATTAATTGTTTCACAATCTCTTGGAGATGCGCCCTTATATCACTACTTTCCGACATAAATCTTCAGACGAACAGTTGCAAGATGTGGGCGGAAACGTCTTAGTCCACGCTACATTTTCTGTTTTCATAAAGAACAATACAACTTTCCCCTTGTGATTCCGACTCGTGATGCTACACCTAACAGAATTTCCACAAAGTACAGATAGAATTTGTTCACGCAGTTAAAAAAAAACCGATATTCTACAAGTATAGTTTTAATAAGATAATTGAATGGTATGACATTTTTCGTGCATCTTGTAGATCACGCGGGGCGTCGCGTTTAATCGATTTACGCTGTATATTTACATCATTGAACAATTTGCCAACCGTGCGAATTATGCCTTGACTCGTCAACCACCACACAATTTTTGTAACCCGCATTATCTTTAAAAATTTTTTTTTCTTGTAATTTCTTTTAGTACCGCTTCTTCAAACTAATTAAAGGTCACAGAAAAAATCATGGCGCAAAATAATGCCCATTCGTATCCATTTCTACACCTTGTAGATTATCTTTAATCTCGATTGCCATGCCCACCTACTCACACAAACACATATGCTCACATACATATATACCTGCATAGATTAGGACTTGTTGACATCATTGTCATCTCTTTCACATGCAAAATAATTGAAGTGAGTTAGTCTATAGAAATCTCTCTCTCTCTCTCTCTCTCTATGGATTTAACTTTCCTTTGTCTTTTTCTGGTTTTAAGAATGAGAAAAAGATAAAAAGTAAATTAAACGAAATTAAGAGGATGCTGGATCGACGGAACGCTTCGTATTTTTCAAACCATTTCGTTTTCTTTATACAGAATAAAAAGTTCTCCAGAATAAAAGAAAAAACGCAAATACCTTTGGAAAAGTACAAATCGATATGAAAATCCCCTCCCAAAAAATGTAAATTACAGTTTTCTGTTACCATGTATATTCACACACACACACACACATATATATATATATATATATATATATAAATGAATGCAAGGATATATCTGAACAAAAAGTACTTTCCCTAGTAATATTTGAATAATTCATAAGAATATCAGCTCACTATCTTATTCTCTTTCTCTTTTATGTTCGTACTCTTTTACTCTTTTGTCTATCTAATAAAGAAATTATTATATAGTTTATCTGAAGATGGAACAATCGGCCCTAAATCTATATTGATAAAATGGACATTAGTCCTTCAGTGATGAATCGTGAATCTGGTCGATCTATTTGAACGGTCGGCAAAGTGTTATCGTAATCAGAAACGCTCGAACTAATGCTTCGTGCCGGAAATTTTACGATTTCACTCGATCGACTCGGGGTGACATGATCGCTGGCAAGCGCATGCTTATAATACGTTGTGTTAAATGTTAAACGATTGAACAATTGTAAGCATATATCCTTTTTGTTACGGCCTTGTTGACGCTTAGCCTTCGTCATAAATAACGGAGAGCGTGTATATCTGGAGTAATATTATATTAACAAGTTTATTTTTATACAATTAGCTATCTATATACAGTATATCAATATGAATGTCGCATCTTCTTTTAATTAACGTAATATTAAGGAGAAAAACCTCGTATAATCTTACCTGATGCGCTAAAATTTGGAATATCCTGTTTTTCCCCCCTCTCTCTCTCTATATATATATATATAGAGAGAGAAAATTTTTTCTTATATATTTTAAAAAATCGCGACCTCGTAATAATTAAATCTCGGAATCTTGCATTGCGCTTGCATAATATTCCTCGTTAAATCGGTATTCGTCCGATAATCGAAATTCTGTTTATGAGCTTCGGTATCGAAGGGACAGCTTCGGCGAGTAATATCTGTCTAACAGATCTTCAGATAAAATTTGAATATGATAGATTCACGCTATTAAATTTTGTGACAATACAAATAATTGCAATTCACTGGGAACTACTCGATTACATGTACGTATTCATACAATTGAATCCATAAATATGCTTCTTCTTTCGAAAATGTCTTTGAATTTTTCAAATTTATACTTTTGATTAGGATCGTAAATATATCATTAAACATTTAATCTGTATACCGATCGATCCGTGTTACTTCTAGTTGAGAGCGGATAACGTGAATATTTAATATTATATCGCATCGTCTTAAACGGCAAAGGTTATTCTCTAAGATCGGGTCCGCTAAAGGAGTTATTTTTTCCTCTTCTTTCTCTCTCTCCCCCCTCCCCCCTCCTTTTAACATCATCTATAAATGCGAAACGAAATAATTGTTTTATTCGACGTGTATAACAGCGGACTTAATTTAGACAGTTGTTCCGTACGTGCTGAACATCACTCTGGTGGTATCTGTGTCGAGGGTGACGTCCTCCGGTGACGCTAGGTCAACCTTTATGGATCCAGAATTATTCCGTCTTCGCGTTATGCCACCGCCCCAATTCGACAGAGTCCAATGGTAGGTCTCGCCCTCCCTTTCGGCATTCGCCGCGGCGGTCTCCTGTTCTCGCGTTGTCTCGTTCTCCTTGTTCAAACCGGTGTCGATCGAGACCGATGACTGCGACGCGACGGAGTCGAAGCTGGAGTCGCCACCGCCACCTCTGTATCGACTCACATATTCCGTCGCCATCTCGCCGGGCGACTCCTCGATGGCTCGAAGGATGTTCTGACACAGTTCGGAGTCGAGCGGTATCGGATCCTCCGAATCGCGATTGTGTATGGTCATCGCTATATGAGCCGGATGCGGAATCGGTAGAGGTATCACCAATTTCTCCGCGCTGTACGGATGAATCTGGCGTTTCCACGGCTGCCACCGTCCCTCCGCGCTGTTGTCGTTCGTCATCGTGCGTCTTCGAATTTTCGTCGATGTTAACAGGCCGCTGGTATCGCTATGAAGAATCACGTTTAATATGTGTTTTTTTTTCTTTTCAGAAAATTATGACATAATTAAGAAGTAATTACCATCGTTTGTCAGACTTCCTGCTATTGCTAGCTTGTTTAGCTCTCGGATTAAAGGCAGAAACCTCGAGATACGGGCTGTGCACTTGGATATTTCCACGTGGTGCGTAAACAGCGCCGAGTAAATCGGGTCCGTTAATGCCACCAAGCTCAGTACCGTGTACCATGTCCGTGTATCGTGACAAATCGACTCCCGGATGCGGCTCCAATCTGAATTTTGTATCGGAGTCGTCGAGTGGTTGTAGGAAATCCAGACTGAAGATGTCGGCATACATAAGCCCTGCCAGGCCCGCCCAGTCGCATACCCCTAAACCTTTGTTCTCCCAAAAGTCTTCCTCGTTTCCAGGCAATCTCGCGAAAACGTGAGTGGGATAGAGACGTTCTAACATCAGTGCGCCTTGCTGTATGACTACCTGCAATGTTGTTTTAACAGTATCATAACTGAACTGCACGCATGTACGAATTTGTAATTAATTAAAATAATGCGATGTCTTACGTAGGATTTTACAGCAGTAAATAATTACCTTTAAGTCGAAAGTGGTTAATTTTATCTTACTCCTCACCGCGACACCTAGGCCTGTCTGCAAATTCTTTCTTCGTCGATCCAGCTTCTCGTGCAATACGGCAATTAGATCTTTGGCTTCCTTCTCTAGCGATTTGTACGGGTCCTTTGTCTTGGCTAGACTAGCAGCGAATGGACCAAAGCAGGCTTCGACAAACTGAGTAAAATCTCTCTGCGGTTGAGTGATTAATCTTTCAGTCTCTTGCTGGTAAGCTAGCAATTCGTCCAGCTCTAATTTCGCTTCAAACGCGGCCAATGCTTGTTCCGCTCGTATCTGACGAAAATAATTTCAGTTAAATCTTATTCCTCAAGTATTATGATGCCCACATAGCCAAGGTTTGACGAGATGAATAGATATATGAATAATAAATATGAGTAATATGAATAATTATTCATATTAAATAGTCAATATTTAGTGAATGTGTGCAAATATGTTAGCGTATATATATACATTGATTATATCGTTTGGAGACGTCTTAAGGCCGGTGGACATACTTGCAATATATCTAATTTTTTTTCATGTTACTTTGTTGATTCATTTATAATCATAGGTGACTTTCGTAGATTTTTTCATGCCGAATTCGAATCCGTAGCTAAAATTGCTCCATCACATCAGGTTTACGAGATGTTTTAATCTAACGATGCCCGAAATAGGCCTTTTTGGCACTTTTGGATTAGAATATCTCGGAAACCTGACGTGATGGAGCAATTTTGGCTATGGATTTGGTTTTAGCATGTCAAAAACCTTCGGGATTACATACTGCCGTTTCTGGGTCAAAATTCATGTCGGCCTGTGTTATTATTAAAATTGAAATAATTAATACGTATTTAAACTGTTGTAAAGATTAAAGCAAACTATTTCTAAAGTTATAACGCAAAAATGTGCGTGCCAACGACACAAGCGAACGATATACCAGTTTCTTATTCCTTATTGGCTTATTTCATCAACTAATTATTTTAATTAGTGATATCACAATCAAATAAGTCTTTGCTTATCCAGCAAATGAGAGAACTTAACTCTTAACTGTTAACTGCTGAGAATCGTCGCGAATAAATATTGCTAATATATGGATATTCATACGGATATCTGGTTATTAAGCACTGAACTCCGTACTTAATAAGAATTTTCAAATTCCATATTCAGAATAATAATATTAATTGCAAAATCAATTTCTTTTTGAAATGTGACTATTAATCCTTACATTTAACTTCAAACAAAAGTAAAACAAAAGAAAAACCGAATAATCCGATAACCAAATAAAATCTAATAAAACCCGATAAAACTCTATAAAACCCGACCAGGCTGGGTTTAAAAAAAAACCCTGCTACATACACACGTATAAAAATGTAATACTCACTTGATAATAATAATCCGAAGCTAGTCCCGGCCCAGCTATTCTCTTTACGACGAAGCTGTCGCTCGCTGGTATCCGACCCCTATTTTTGATCACTAAATGGAACATAGCCGTATCCCAGAACACTCTGACCCAGTAACGTATCACAGCAACTACAAAATAGAAATTCTATATAGTATCGACTTTCCGACCAAGTCAAAAATTCAAGGAGTTCAAATTATTCAAGGAGCATAAAAATCAACACAAGATATTAGTGCAATAATTTATTTATCCTTCATGTAATGATAATATAACAATAATATAACGTTTCGACTTTAGATTAGGTCATCTTCAGTATCAGAACAAAAATTGTAAAATATCTATCTTTAGTCTTACATTATTTAACGCTACATAAATTTTACGTATACTTGTATGATGTTCTTGTAGTTTCATTTTTCATTTTCCTATAAGATTATACCTATCTTGTGCTTTTTTTTCTTAATGTCCCTCTTTTCTTAATGTCTCACACAAGTCCCAATTTCTATAAATTGGGACTTGTGTGAGAGACATTAAGATGTCAAATTCAATCGTTTTATGGAGAAATCTGGACTGATAACACAAGATAGGTATAATCTTATAAGATGAAATGATTGCGAACTCTACTGGTATTGAAAAATGAGACTACAAGAACATCATACAAATATACGTAAAATTTATATGTAGCGTTAAATAATATAAGACTAAAGATAGACATTTTACAATTTATGTTCTAATATGAAGGTGACCTAAGGTCGAAACATTTATCGTTATATATGTATATGAAGAATAAATAGACTATTGCACTGATATCTTGCGTTGGCTTTTATGCTCCTTGAATAAATTAATTATTTTATACAAAATAGAATTATTTCGAATGTATTTTTTCGTCTCTCGACAAAATTCTACATTTTATTTACTTGTAAGTATCACAAATGAGATGACCGGACATAGAGCAAGAGCTACGAATAACGCCGCTATCGGTTGCAGGCAGCCTTGAATACCGATGTTCCAGACTAATGCTTCCATCACCACGAAATATCGATTGCGGCTCGGCTCAGGACTATCCAGATCCATCACGAGTGCCATGAATGCATGCAACGTCATTGTGACCAGAGGCATCCTGAAATGGCCAATAATAAGTTAAGTTCAATTACATTCTACTTAAAGAAAACAAATAAGGCATTCAACACGAGGAACTAACCACAAGATTGCAGTAAAAGCGATAATCAGCGAACTAACGCTTGCCAGAACGCACATGATGGGAAACACGAATAGAATGATGAGGGTGCCTAACAGACCTTTTGCACCGTAGTTCCATAGCCTATTTAAATGTCTGGTCATACCTTTGCCGATGAATCCTAAAAAGGTATTGTTAGAGAGTATTTTTCCTGATATTAAGAATTTAATATAGTATCTTGTAAAATTATACACGCGTAAGTGCAAAAGGCAAATATTCGGTCAAGGTGGTTCTTCGTGCCTCTAATCATATTTCTTTTGTAAATTTATATAATTTCCAGTTCAAGCTATAATATACACCGATTATTTGTCAGAATTATTAAATTATTTGTGATATTACTATTCCGGCTTCGGTTTAAGGCTGTGTTTCTAAAGACCGACAAATGATCGGTGATTTTACCTGTATCTGGTTCAGTTTCAAAGTGCGTTCGACTTTTACTGATATGCCTCCAGAGTGCTATTAGTCGGGAACAGAGAGTAGGCATTTGCGATGACTTTCTCGGGAACAATGTTCCATTTAGTTGACTCAATTCCAAGTCGGGTGTAAATGGTTGTACCAATAATAAAGCACGGAAAGACACTGGACTACACCATGGTACGGCTACACCCAACAGGAACATTGCATTCCACGTCCAACACCATGTTCTGGCGATATAATTTATCCAGCGCCACATCGGCCATCTATTATACACATAATCGAAATCGTTAGAATTCCGAGCACGAGAATTTTAATAATAGTTTGATCGATTGAGGTACCTTGTCGTAGTCGTGTGTACAATTTCTCTTTCGACCAAAAAGACAGGCTGACTGGGATCAGCGCGAGGCGTCGTGATGGAAGTCGGAGTATTGCTCAGTACGGTAGGAATGATTTCGGACTGACCTTGAAAATTGCGTCTTATTATCCAGTTCTTTGGTAGCCAGATTTGCGTCGGCCATTGGAAAGTTCTCGTCGGGGTTTTCACTTTCCGCAGTTCTTTCAGGAGAACTGGCTCTCTCTGAAACAGAAAAATCCAAGTTTTTAACAAATTCCAAAATAAAATCCCAAGATTGGACATTAGATACCTCTTTCATGAAAGTTAAATCACGATTGAGAAAGTACACGGTCTGAGTGAGATTTTGATGGCTGCAGAGTGCAAGAGCTTCTTCATGCGCACTCCATTCGCACTCTTCGATAAAATTCTCCTCGGCCTCGCGCATGCGATCGCGCATCCACGGTTGTATCCGCGACAGGATCGGATGCTCGCTCTCGATGCGATGTCGCAGAGATTCTTTGGTTTGCGATAGTTTCCGTTGCATGTTCTCTACTGCTCGGTGCATCAACACAACCGATTGTGCCTGTTGAACCAACAACTGAGCGATGCCCTCACCTAGCGCGAGTATGTCAGGATGCGACAAGATATTTGAGTACACTCTTTGCAAGTACTCGCGCATTACCGCTTCGTTAACTTCCTAAAAATATTGGTTAACAAAATAAATACATTTTAATTTATTCTACATACATTTATTTATCGCTTTTATAATGTATATATAATATATAGATATAATTTTAAGTATGTATAGTAGTCAATTTTTTAATTAAAAAGTATTTCTTACTCGTTCTATTTCATCATCCGGTTTCTTTTGTGCTCTCAATTCAGATATCAGTCTTTCTCTAAAGTGAAGGAACCAGCCTCTTGTCTCTCTCTCCAGAATCGTAACGAGCGTCGGTAAAGCTTTTCTGATTAAATACGAAAGGAACTGAAACGGGCAATAGTTGGGACGATTCTCTTTCAACTTCAAATTTCTCCGTCGTTGCTCGACGAAGTTGCTTCCGTATAAATCCACAAAGGAGCTCCAGAGAATCCTCATATTCCGGCTACAGCGGCGATGTATCGAAGTAAAAACGACAATCACTTAAGTTTACGTAACGGAGATCGACATTTCTAACGAGTAATAATGAAAATAATGGTTTTTACCTTACAGACTAATTCTGCCACCAGATATCGGCAACGTTCCTCCCTAATTTTAGCATCTAGATTGTGTGCCTGGAGCGACGGTACGCCGATTATAATGTCTGCAAGATGCATATAAATGTAACGTGCAATATATATGTATATATAGAGCGTATGTAGATCTAATGTGGTGTCGATAATGCGGATGTGTGGCTTAGACGTCACATTTAAGTGCACGAAGGACGCAAATTGCTCACCGAGAAGTCGCAACAGTCCCGTTAACAAGGCTTTAAGAGATTGTGAGACACTGAAGCAATGGGAAACTAATCTAGCCTTTGCCGTTACAACGAGAAATCTAGTCGCCAAGGCAAGATCTGTGAGCAACGCATCCCGCCGTCTGTCTCGGCCGCGTTGTAGAAGACCGCTCAATCGCCATCGGTGAGTCTGCCCGGCGAAGTTGATCGAGTCCACTTCGAACTCTCTGCAAGAAGAATCATCGGTCAGCCGCGCGATAAAATTTCTCTCGCGTGATTTTGCGACGGCCACAATCATACAAAGCGCCGTGTCCTACAGAAAATCAGTTCGGAATGATAAAAATGTTGTAACAAATACAGGTACCGTCTCCCTTTCCATTATAAAACGTTATATACAGTAACGTGTAAAACGTCTACTTGTCTTCTATTTCGCGGGGAATACTTATTTCGATAGCATTGCTGCTAGTCCGTGCTGGATTACACTTCGACTAATCCTATAGTCGCTAAAGCCCACGGTTTTTTTTCTTTACAGCGATTATGTACAAGCCAAACTTAAAAAAAAAGAAAGACTAAAGATAAACAACAGTTGGAAATATACAGTTTGTACAAATTGAGTGCCATGCGACAATGAATACACACATTGTAAAAGATGCTATACCAATCTCCAATTCCAGTGGCGCAAAAGAGTTATACGATAATATGCGTTTATCTCGTCAATGCTCCGCAAATGGTTCATCGGACGTTTAAATTAAATGAGTTAATGGCGATGCAAATGAAAGATCATGCTGTGAACGCGACATGGTTCCCGCGCGAGGGAAGTTAGCCGGGTTAGTCAATCCCAAGGTTGTTGCTGTACAAGTTACCTATCGACCTAATTGCATAAACGTTTAACACATTGTCTTTACTTTTTTAAGCATTGTCGCTTAAGTGTGTCACACGTACCCGCATCTTCGAATGCTCTCCAACTGAGTGGCATTCAGCTTCTTCGGCTTTCCATATTTATCCTTGTGTAAGCTTTACAGAAATCGTTAGAGCATATCAGACACACACACGCACTTGAAGCGAAGGATCGCTTTATTTACTCTTCGTAGAGAGATCCCGCGCGTCTAAGGCCCAGTTTCACAACTCACGGTTAACTTTTAACTGAGGTTCAACTTGCATTTTAAAATTGGAAAGAGACAATAAATAAGTTGAATCTCGGTTAAGAGTTAACGTGAGTTGTGAAACTGGGCCTAATTCATCGAAAACGTAAGTTGGACATCAATACGCTTCCAAGACTCACGTCTTTATCGTGGTATCATCGCTTTCTGGATTTCGACAGATTCGACACGGGTATATGTATATTCATCCATTACTATATATGGACTACATTATATTAATCTCTCCTCTCTATTTTTTTCTTTTTCTACTGCCTAACTACTGCCGCTACATATAATTACATAAAATAACTAACTATCACGTTCGTTAAATGAGTAAAGAAGAAATTGACATACCCACTACGTCCACATAAGGAACACCTACCCTCGCTCTCTGATGCTCTCCAGTTGTTTGTTGGTCAGTCTTCTGGGCTCACCCTTGCTGTCCACGGCAACGGCGTCCAGCTCATCAAAGCTGGGCGCCACGAAGAGATCCCTTAGATGGTATTTCTTTCGTGCCAACGTATCCTCGCCTTCCGTGCATGAAGATAACGACGGGGGCAGGACGACAGGAAACGTTCGCCAGTGATAGAGGAATTGCTGGGCGACCTCCTTGATGTTGTGTACCAATGCCTCGACTTCCGCTGGAGCGCCTCGCAAATGCGACGTGTCGAATTCCACCGGTTCTTTCTGAAGAACGATCATCGTACAGTTTTCATTGGTTGATAATTTTTATTTTATAAATTTTACTTAATATTTTAACTTCTATCTTACTCGAATTTTATTCGTATTTCATTTTTTATGACGGTAAGATTTAGAAGCTAATTACTATTGACGCTTCTGGATTGGCTGCTGCAAAGCATTGCGACTGGCGACGATGTGTGTGTATGTATCTGTGTGTGCGCGCGCGCAACTTATTGTAGACCATGCTTAAGAGTACTCTTTGATCTAATAATAAATCGCTCTTTAAAGCAATTAAAGTATGAAATATGTATTTCTCGAAAGTACGTTTTTAAATTTTTTCAAAATGAAAGGATTATAGTTCGATGAAACAGACATAAAACGGAAATATGTTACTTATGGATTCGCTACATCCAAGATGTTCGATGATTCGACGCAGGGTAGACATATCAGTATGATCGATTTTGCATTACCTCGGGCTGGACTCCATCTGCATTCTCTCGATGGTACGGCTGCTGTGGATAGGCTTGATGATTCGGTCCCGTGTTGGCGGAGTTGGCGGAAGCTGAATTTAGATTGTGGGGCATCTCGCGCGTGAAAAGCGTGCGCGGTGGCTGGGGTCAGCTGCCCCGTATACCGACTATCTCCTCATATACCATGCTGCTGGTGGCGACCATTTATCATTCCACGCTACAAATCAAACATCGCTTGAGAATAGATCTCTTTTTTCTACTTAAGAAATACAGGCGGAACGATTACACGTCTGCAATATTTCAAGGATTGAGACTAAGGCTCGTTTTTAAAAAAGAAAAATAATTTTATATAATCGTCATTTTCTTTTCTCTTTTTTTTTTATCGAATTGAAAATATGAGAATGATATAAAAAATTAGAAATATGTACAAGCATATTATAAGTGAATCTATACAAGTGTATAGAATACTCGAATACAGATTCCCTCGATACAGCGTTCCGAATCGCAACGAAAAAGAGAAAGAGAGTGAAGATTCAAAAGAAAATAGAATTTTTTAAAAGAAAGAAAATATAGAATAGAATAGGGACGATAAAAATATCCGGAGCACGAGGAACGACTCGCGTTGTCATTCATTGCGTGAGGTGGTGACGACAGACTTTGACTGAATACGCGAGATCTATTAACCGATTATGTCCTATTAAACGTTTAAGATTCTGAACATTCCACTCTTCTTGCCGCCGCATGTATGTGCTTCGAATTACATCCGCTCTCTCCCTCTCAACGGTTCACATTGCCGCCGTCATGTTTTTCCTCCTCGCCTTTTATATAGACTATACGATATTGCATCCCTGCAGCGTGAATCGCTCGCGGAACGCGACGCAAAAACTCTTTCGGAAACATTTCTCGAGGCGCGATAGATTCTGCAAAAATACAAATAAACGATTGAAAAATTCCGCGGTTGTCCAACTAGCTAAGACCTTTCGTAAAGTTAGCCCCACTTTTTCAAAAAATTTGCAAAAATAATAATAAGAGTTTTAATTGCCTCCCAAAGATATATAAGACCCTAGGATAAGAATTAAGCCAATGAGGTAACTAGTAGTTTAGTAATTTGTCTAAATCCGCTATAAGTAATAGTCAAGGCAAACGCGAATTTCAAATATGACATTTAAAAATAAACAAATAGCACGAAAGTCCACTTTAGACGATCTATAATTCGATCAAATTTGAAACAGAATTCTATTTATAATTTTGATTGTCGTGTAACATAGAAAACATTTAAAGAAGTAAAATTCACACATGTACAAAATATAGTATATCAGGATACACATTTATATTTAAGATATATGACACATAAAATAATGTAAAATTTTTTCTTGAATTTGGTCGCGAATTATAGATCGTCTAAAGTGAAGTTTATACATGTACATTAATTAATATTAGGTATATAATCAATAATAGTGCCACTTTTTTCTTTTGATGCAATTGATATTTTCAGTAAATATGTAGAGGAAGACCGCTGATACTGACTTTGTGTGTTTTTAGATCATATTTCTTATACAAAAGCTAAAAATAAAATTTTAAAAACATAAATACAAAGTAGAAAGCATCTTCTATTAAATTGCATTACAGTTTTTGGTAAATGTTTACTTTAGGAGACCCAGCTTCGATGACCTTGACCTTGATATATGTTGTCAAGGTCGTGACCCTGAGTGACCTCCGACAGGTTTTAGTTGGCGCTCGCTCTTCGTTAAAAAGTTATTAACAAAGAAGTTTAAAAAAGTAACGTCTCATTTCTGCTATAAGTACTATAAGCGACTCTCATCCCCTTTCCCCCTGCCAAGGCGCACTTTTTTAAAGCAGCGCATTTTTGATAAGTCGCAACAAAATCATAAATTTTCTACTGATAATGAGTGTTCGTTTTCAGTTTCGGTAAAAGTTTCGGTCGGACTCTAATAATAGGACATACAGTAAGTCCGTAAGTGAATGGTTGAAATCCATTTCCTACATTCTACTCTCTTGTTACTTAATCGTAGATTGAAAAGAATGATAGATAGAAAATTGTAAGAATATTATTTTCACATTTGTAGAATTCGTTTTTAGCTGATTTAACATAGAAATAAGTCATAAAAAAATATGTGAATTATGAATTTTTACTTCTTTAATTATCTAAACAGATTATGTTTTTAACAGTGCACTCTTAACTTTGCATCGCCAAAAATCGGCGGTACACGTTGAAATATAAACCTTATGTAAATTACAAGAAACATAAGTAATAGATACTATCAAACATAAAGTAATAGATATAATAATAAAAAACAGGGAAGTGAGAGTGAATAACTGCGCTATAATAAACAATGTAATGTATATAAAAACTATCACTACATAAGTGACGCAATTTCCATTTCCAAATGGAATTATTATATTGTTTTTAATTTTGAGAGTCCATTAAATTGGTTGTTATATTTTGAAACATAAAGCACCTCGAAGTCAAGAATTTTCCATTGTGAAGAGAAAAAAAATGACTCATCCGATCTATATTCCATAAGGCCGGAATCAGACTACGCATTGAAGATTGAGATCGAAGATTGAAGATTGAAATTTGACCAATGAGGGCAAAGGAATTTTAGCTCCTATTGTTTTGATTAGTCAAATTTCAATCTTTCAATCTTTAATCTCAATCTTTAATGCCTAGTCTGATTCCGGCCTAAGATTCTATATTCACGATCTTTGCTTGATCTGTATGATCGTGCTGAAACTAATATATTTCACTTTGTCAGTTGATGACATTTGAATAGCTCCGTTGCTGTCGATTGTCGTTTGTTTGAAATGCTGGCGATATATTGAGGCATACACTCAACGACTAAAAGATTGCAACACTCTTTTTATGGGTTTCGAAATGTAGCTTGCTCACTGAATGATTGGTTTTTATGGATCCATTTACATTAAACCATTCTACGAGCAAGATTAAGTTTAGAAACCCATCGAAAGAAATTATTGCAATCTTTTAGTCGCTGAGTACACATGAGGTACGTACAAAAAGCCTTGTATCTCTCAAAAAAATGTACTGCAAGTTCACTTTATATAGATAGGCATATATATGGTCATTTTAGATTTTAGAAATATACATGCTCAATATTTCGAGAAAAACATCTAAATACTACACAGGGTGTTCGAAAATTCAACCGACAACGCTCGTGGGCAGATAGACCGGATTAAACTGAGTCGAAAAGTCCTCTACCTTTTTGTAATTTTCGTAATAGTTAACAAAATATTAATTACACTAAAAATTATCAAATATTGGTTTTCAATAATTTTTTTCTCAAATACTATTAACTTTACAGAAAAACTGCAAGTGACAAAAATTATTTATTTTCTTCTCATAGAACTTGAAGAATTTTTTTAGAATTTTTCATCAACTTTTTAGTACTGCATTTTAAATACGACTGTTTTTGATATATGCAGCTGTTCACTAATCATGCGACTCGTCATCTTTCTTCAGCAGTTTGACAATAGCATTGATGTTGCTTCTGTTCGAGTCGATACTGGCCCAACTATAGATTTTATCTTCTATCAATTCTTTGTGCCATCATATTATATAAATGATCGTATTACTCAAACTGTATGTTTTAAAAAAATCATCCCCATAAACCTTTTGCAGCATTGATAAAACATCAATCGCCGAAATACCGATTTTAAAACAAAATTTTATCGCGATACGTTCTTTACAGACATTCATTTTACAATTTATAACACTACTTAAAACACTTTACACAAACCACTCGTTTTCCACTTCAATTGATCAAATAGAGCTGAAACTTCATACAGAGGTCGCTAAAAGATACCACATACATGGTTCAAGTATTGGCCGATAAATCGCGCCATTAGTATTGTCGTAAAAAAATCAGTCAGGTATTTATGAACCGCATTGTATTTTATATAGAATTAATGTGCGTATAACTGAATTAACTGAATTAAGTTGCAATAATTATAAAATAGCTTGATATAAAATAAAATAGCTAGCAATAATTATAAAATTCAATTATTTACATTAATTCTACATATATACAACTTGTATAATTGTTATTTTCATGAGTGCCATTATGTCTTTTTCTCTGAGTAGAATAAAAATGACACTAATAAAAGATGAGAGCCGTATTTGATCAAGGCGAATCTTGGGGTAGTCCTAATAATACTTTTATGTGAATTTTACAATTTTCTCGTCATGCAGGATAAGAATGATCATCAACAAGTGGAACATCGTTAACTTTTGCTGGCTAACAATCATCGATTGTGAAAAACCGTTTATATACTTATACATAATAAAATATTTAGGTTTACCTACACAACAGGGAGATTTTGTTGGAAGATTACATTCTGATTACAAAAGTGCTATATTGGAGTGCACGCAATATAAAACAAAGTTTCACTCAAGAATAAAAACAGCCTTCGAATAAATCGATGTTCTCCTTGCCAGTTCTCGTCAGAACGCGAAAAGCACGATGCGCAAAAGAATATTCACCGTTCCGTTCGTGCGTGTTCCAAATAGGCGGGCAGTCGCAAGCTCTGTCTTTTGACCCAGTTTAGTGAGCTCTTGCAACTTTAAAACAAAACTGTTGGGCTATCACAGTCGAGCCGATCGTCCTGATGCAGAGAGCGCGTCACGCATGATTGCGTGCAATTTCGGAGTCACACGCACGATTTCCGACCTCATTGACGACTTTTTCACGCTGAAAGCGGCCAACCGTACTGCGTAGTAACACAATCCGTATAAAATTATCTTTTTAAAAAAGATGCGAAAATAGCACGTCAACACACACTTATCATTGTACTTACTTATCCAATTATTTTCTGTTGTTTAATTGTTTTGATTTTCAAGAAATCTATTATATATTTTTTCGTTTTTCACAATGAATTCTTTGCAGTGTTTAAAAGATGTTCATCAGCAGCATTAATTCATTTGGTCATTGTTTGTGATATTCCTGTTTCAATTTAAAAACTGCATTTTAAAAATGACAGTAATTGACACATAATTTGCAGAACGAAAATATAAAAAAAATATTTAAAAAATATAAAAATTCATAGAAATATCAGATGCTAATTGTAAGATCCAAACCGTTGGATCATGTCTCGCGAATGAAACAATATTTTTAGTGCATCAAAATCGACATCTATTTACTTGAATTTTACAGAAGATTATTTATATCTTTCTTTATGTAATACAAGAATAAATTATATGTAATGAATAATTAATTAGAAAGAAGTAATTTATATACAGTGTCCAAAAAGTTCCGGGACACCCGAATATCATGGAAAGTAAAATATTACAGAAAAGTATTTCAGACAAAAGTTGTAGGGTTTAAAAAGATCTATTTACTGATCACATCCGTTTGACTTTGGGTGGCGTCGCCAAGGTCAGGTCAAGGTTACATCAATTTTTTTTAATGGAACACTCCATTTTTCATTGAATATTCTTATAGCACATCTGAAGAGCTTTCCAAAACTATAATAAAATATTTTTTCATTAAGTATTTTTTGAGTTATAAAGCTCGAAGGTACAGCCGGCATTAGCATTACGCAAGTTGTTCGACCGACGGCTAAAACCTCTTGAATGTTGTTCAGGATCATGTCCTGGATAATATTTGTTAAGATCAAGGCCATTGCAGGCTGTACCTCTTATTTTCATTTTTGCAACTAAAAATTCATTATATAATGTAACCATTGGTTACAAACAAATATAGTACTATGCTATATTATA